AAGATGGCAATTAAGTCAGCAGCACTCTATAGCTAGCTGCAGCAGCAGGAAATTTGGCCTTGTGTCTAGTTAGCAAGGCTGCAAGCCCCTGTGACTCAAATGGGTTTCTGCTGGTCAGATTCCTCCTTTGAACTTGCTTATTTCGGAGGCTTTTCTATTTGTTTTATGTGATTTACACAGAACATTGTGCAGTGAATGGTCTGTCAAGAAACAGTAATAAACAGATGCTGCTACTCTATATGGCGTTTCATTGTTAATGTTTTTAAATAAAACATTTGCTTTAACCCCATGTACACATAGATTGTGTATGTCACAGTTCAGTCTGGATGTCTGAAATAGTTTCTTGAGTTCCCATTCCTCAGTATTTTGAAAGACGAAGGGCCAGCAATGCTAATCTGTGTGTACCTCCAACTATATTGGAACAATTTATGGCAACTGAAGGTCAGCTCCAGAGCTTCTGTGTGTCTCAGATTATTCATGCCATATTGCAGCTACGTGGATGGGATGATATGCAAGTGTATGTACAAGTAGGATACGGAAATTGGCAAAACAGGTATAAGTAAGATTCTACTCAGCAAACTGGGATGCGATTTTCTACAGACTCTTTGGCTGTGACTACTCAGCAACATACAAGTCCTTCATGGTAAGAACGTAAATATATGAGTGTTGATACAACATGCAACTTATGTTGTACATGGTTATAAGGAGGGGGCAGTTTAAACAATAGAACAAAGCCAAATTTAATTGTAAATATGTTGTTCCTAGACGTGCAGATCTTAAAGCCATTCTTTCCATTAGTCCTATTGTTCTCAAAGTAAGAAGCCTTTTAATGTACAGCAATTTTCAATTAAAGTCAACTTTGAAACAAATGAAATGCTGAAAGCACAGAAAGACTAGTCAAAGCTGCTTTGAACAAATTTAACTCTTCAGAGTCCTGAGAATTAGGCCCCATCCCTAGAAGCATTCAAGGTCAGGGTGGACGGGGCTCTGAGCAACCTGCAATAGTTAAAGCTGTCCCTGCTCACTGCAGGGGGGTTGGGCTAGGTGACCTCTAAAGGTCCCTTCCAACCCAAAGCATTCTATGATTCTATGATTCTAATTTGTATCTTTCATAAGAATGTGTAGATATCTCTATCAGGTAATTAATCCAATGACATTTTAACTTCAAAAATCTCAGTGGCTTGACCAGAAAAGTTGCCTTTTGGTAACATTTGACCAGGCCCTGTGCTCAGTTCAGCTACTGGGCTGCAGGTGGGCACCTGCAACTATGTGAAGGCTATTAAGTCTTAGGATGTGCCAAGGACAAACCTGTCAATTTAATGCCACTAATGATATGCAAGTTTTGCTCTGTTTCTTTATAAATTTAGTATCATAGACTGTAAGCAACACCTCAGGGAGAGCTATAATTTAACTACCTAATGGATGTGTACACACTGGCAAGAAGAAATTATAATAACAACCTGATGTGGATAGAGTGATATGCAACTGTGTACTTATTAAACAAAGGATTAGACACATCTGCAAGGAACCCATTACAGAAAGTAATTGAAGTGGGCACCTCTGCATTAAAAAAAAAAATAAAATCAGGGCTAGTCATTTCAGTGAAGGATTATCTGTTCTATCAGTTATGATTTTATCTGAGATGTGGAATAAACAAAGAAGCAGGTCTGCACCTAGAGGAATTTTGGTTACATCAGTGAATTTTTAAACAATCTTGAGGCTTGTCCACCTCTGCTATAATGTGGCTCAGCTCTTAGTGATTGGAACAAGCTGAAAAGAAATGCGTTCACGTTGTGTTGCTATTAATACTGTTACCTGTTTTCTACCACTTCCCTTGTTATGATCTGTATTTTTTATTTATTTGTTTTGGCTGCATGGATACCTTTGTGCTGAAATGGGGATACCTGTAGTGTGCATTACACTCATGCTTTTGTCTCTTGCCTCTTGGGATCTGCATTAGAGGTGGATCCTTGAGCAGAAATCTCCCTCATACCATGGAGAAGGGCCTTTTTGCCTCTCTTTGCAGCTCCTCAGCACCCTCTTCCAGGCTCCTGTCCTCCCTGTCAGCCTTTGATCTGTACCACCAAGGTGGGATGGAGTTCAGGCAGGCTGGAGGAAGTCTTGCAAGGAGTGCAGAGGTTCTCATGCAAGAAAATACAGCTTAAGGGTATGTTGCCATGTACATTCTGTATAGTCTCCTAGATAGGGAATGTTTCCTGTTGGAAAAAGAGTGGTGTCCAGCACCAGCAGAGAGAGCTCTGCTGATACAACAGAAAGTGACAGGCAGGGAGGAAGATGTGGGCTTGGGGACTTGTTACACCAGTTGCTCCAGGTGTATGACCGGAGGCCAAGAGTGTTGGAAGCCCACACTGGCCAAGGTGCTTCCAAGCCTGATTACTCGTGTCTATAGATACACTCAATTAATGTCTTTAGCTAGTTTTTCCTTTCAAGTACCCATGTGTTTGTATCAGTGGGGATAGTTAAACATAATTTCATCACAAAGGAAATGGTTAATGATCTCATTTAAGTTTTAGCCTGCAAAAGAAGTGGTCCAAAGAGGGCAAAGGATGTGGTTTTGCCAGGTATCATGCCTTTCTGAGGAGACAAACTGCCTGCCCCAAAAAACTTGCAATCATTCAATGTAATGAGCACATTCAGAAGGCTGCCTGGAAGCCCAAAGCCTTGGAAATACATTCCTTTCCGCTTTGCAGTTTTGGAGTCTTAGTATTTTACTACATATAATCTACAGCATAAAAATTAGGATTCTGAGTGTGAAAAGCTGCTAATTGTAAAATAATCAGACATCCCACCTGTTCCTAAAGTCAGACAATAGTGCTCACTGGTATGAGAATGAATATCTAACTCTTCTCTGTGTTATCCCACTTAGGTGCCTACTCTGATCCCAAAAGGAAAATAATGAACTGCATTTACTTATTACTGAGTGACTAATTACACATATCTTTTTAAAATCAAGTTCCTTCAAAACTGGAAAGGTACTGTGCACAGAATCCTTTGTCTATTCTAAGTTTGGCATTTAAAACCAGCATATCAAAAGTTGATCTTTCCTGACAGTCACAGATTTTCCGTCTTCTGCATTTTGTCCCACAGTTGCTAACTGTATTCAGATAATGCCTAGAAAAATGTCAGGAAAACCTTTCTCACTCTAATCTGTGAAAGCAAGTATAGTTACTCTATTGTGTGCTTGCAGTTTGAGGAAAGACTGTTAAGTGTGTGTAATGTGTATAGCTGAGGGCATATGCTTAAATAACATTAAAAACCATGACATAAGGTGTGTGCTGAAGAGCTTTCTGAAGTCAGAATACCAGAAGTCTTTTAGAAGGGGGCACCACTACCTTTAGCCTATCACTGCCAGAGTGATCCACTCTGTCTCAGTTTATATGTTTCTTCTTTTTTGTAACAAGATTATTTATCACCAAAATTCATTATTTCCTTCACCAGGTATCACCCTCCACCGCAAAAAAAGTCTGACAGATTTATTAAACCAGTTGCTCCTAAAGTTTTATCTCTCTCTATTAGACAGTCCTCTGCATTTTATCATCAGCTGGTAGCTGAGACAATCTTTCAAAAGACTGGAAGTCAACATTTTTGATATTTCTATCCTTTCCATTATATATTAAATCAGGCAATAATAGACATGCAGTTCCAATATTTTTGTTGCTTCAATACTTTCTGTATTTTGTTTAAGGTACAGTTTTTAGAATAATCCTGGCAATATTCCAGTATGACTGTGCTTTCTTAATCCACTTAGACCTATTAACTGTTGTTACTGAGGCATGCTTATAAATCATTACTGACCCCAGTCCAGTGACAGAGTGGTTATAATCTTGTGAAAGTTTCACTTGTGCATGCTATATACTGCATTGTGTTCTATTTCTTTTCCTTCGTTTTACCATTAACAAAACATGTTCAGCTGAGACAGTGTTGTCTTTCAACTAGTTTTGAAGCCTTTCTTTTTCTGAGGACACTTTACAGGTAATTTCAGTGGTGCCGATGACCAGGCCTAAGCTGTGGCATCCAGCAGTGCTTCCCTCCCACTGGAAGGAAAATCCAGTCTGCAAGGGAGGAGGAAGTAATGGTAGGCAGACACCCAGACAGACAGTCAAGTGAGCAGACGTGCTAGGCAGGTGGTAGTACAGCATAGCTCTGCTGTCTAGAAACATCCAAGTTCAGCCATGAATCCCGGTGATTCTCTTGATGTGGCAGAGCTGGTGACATAAAAAACATTTTCTTGCTAATGGTGTTTGTAAGCCTGATTCTGATTTTAAGTAAGAAAAGGAAACATTTGCCCTTGAGCTAAATTACTACTTGACTTACTTCAGGCTGCCTTCTTAAATCTTCTCTCATTTCAAACACAAAATATTTATGCCTCTGCTTTATAAATGCTGCAGTGTTACAGGCACTGAATGGTTGCTGCCTTCCATTATGGAGACACACATGGCCTGCCATGGATCCTGGTCCACCCCACCTCAAAACATTTTTGATCATTGTGTATAAAACCATAACTACATTTGTTCTTCAAACCCTTCTCCCCCAACCTAGTGTAGCATCAACTGCAGTTCATCTGCCCTGCAGCAAGGCATGCAATTTGCCATTTCTGTGGGCTACCCACTGGAGCAGTGTGATTAAACCTCACTTTTTCCCCCTTGCAGGAAAGAAATGTTCTACCCTAGTCCAAACGATATGGTAGGTAGGAAGAGGTTGCTGCCAGCTCAGGGTCTAGTGACATTTAATATTAGTGGCTGCATTCTGCACTTCCAACAGAACAGAACAGTACAGGATTTCTAACAGGTCTTTTATATATGACACAGAGGCAAGTAGACCTGCTGTCAAGTTCTTTTCCATCTGATTTTCCTCCATTAGGAGAAAGTTGTATAGAAGTAAACAAACAAAAGGGCTATTCACAGTTAACATTGCTTCTCCCTTGCCCTACAGATAGCTAAGTGCATCTAAATGGCTTCTACTCTGACCTCAGCAAACTGATGATGCATTGAAGACAACTGTGGGATTATTCATTTCAGCTTCCCTGGATGATGGATGAAGAGATATTCACTACCACTTTGGTGCCATCTGGGAACATGACACCAAATTCTAGCATGACCCTGGAACAGAAAACAACATTTGCCTTTGTGATTTTATTATTTATTTTCTTGGGAATCCTCATTGTTCGCTGCTTCCGAATTCTCCTTGACCCCTACCAGAGTATGCCAACCTCAACCTGGGCTGATGGACTTGATGGGCTGGAGAAAGGCCAGTTTGACTATGCTCTTGCTTAAAGACTGAGAATTCTGGAGGCTTATCTAGCACTCTGATAAAGAAAGAAAAATCCTGGAATGTCTCTTTATTTTGTTTCTGGTTTACATTTTTTCAAATGTTGTAGGAGTTGCAACGTACAAATATGCACACAATGAATTTTATTTTAATTAAATACCAAAGCATATTAAATTTTTGAGAGTAGATTAGTGAATCTCCTCATTGGGAAAAAGGTAAAGGTTTCATTAGCAGAATTTTTCTTCAGAATGCACTGGAACAATATGTAGTGTATGTGATCTCTTATAACCAGCTAAGAGACACTAGCACATGTCTTCTTTTGCGTAGCCTTTTTATCATTAACAAGAGTCTGTGGAGGAATGTGTCTTACAAATGAGGTAAGAATGTGTTTTTATGATCTGTATGTAGTAAATTAGCTTTTCAAGCTCCACAAGACTCTTCTTACTCTATCTCCCATACTCTGAAAACAAGTGAGGAAATTTCCCACACTGTAAAATAAGATTGAAGGAGCTTGAAAACTTAAGGAGAAAAAAATTCCTCCATGTTTTCCAAGGTATTCAATAAGATGCTCTTTCTTAGCATTAAGCAGTGATTAAGCTACTCAATACTAACAGATCACTGACTGTAATCTTTGTTGTGATGAGATGTGTAATGATTTTGGCCTATCTTTGTCTTTTTGTGCCAAAACTGATTTCTATTAAGATAGGTTTTTGCATTGTTCTTATAACAGCTTATGCAAACAAATTTCAGTCTTGCATGTATTTCAAACCCTCCCTTTCCAGCATTCACTCAGTATGTTTATTTATTGTGTAGGTCACACTGCCATTGTTTTTGTTTCCTAAATGGATGACTGAAACATGGGTGCTAAGAATCAATGAATAACCACCACCCTCTTTACCTATAAATGTCTTTGAATGCATTTGTACAATGAAAACCCATTCCTAGAAGTCAATGTAAACAAAAGCCTATCTGCATGATTGATCAGGGAAAGAAAAGTTTAAAAGGTTGCATAAAATTTAGTAGAACTACTTGGAGTGCAGGTGGATGTTTGCAAGCATTGTTTAGCAGCATTGAAATACTATAGTGGTAACAACATTTGATGTGCTGCCAGAAGGGAAAAGGCCATGCTCCTGAACACAGAAGAGTCTTGAAAAAGGTCCTAGTGCTGCCGGGCTTCTTAAACATTTCATGGAGTGGGAAAGGGAAGGCGCATGCTGCCTGTTTTCAGACAAAGCTTTAGATTTAGCTATTTTGCTCACACTATAATAATGACAAGCAGCTGGGAAGTTTTCCTTTGTGCTTTGGCTTGCAGCCTGCAAATGGAGAAACAAAGCCAGCCCCATAGCTGGTACAGCTGGGGCTGTGCTGACTCATCCAAGCTGAGGCTCTGATTCCAGCCGTGGCACTTAGAGCTATTTATTTATTTCCCTTTGCTGCTTGTCGTGTCCATCGGTTAAAGGTTGCAGCTATTTGTAGCAGAGGCAGTGGAAGGAAGGGTGGCTCTGCACCCTAGCTATCACAGTTCACAAGAGGGCAACCAGAGGCATGAATGCAGCTCCCTGACAAGTTCAGAGAAAGAAGGTGGGCTGTGACCTGTCACTGCTGAAATGCGAGCACAGCTTGTTGCAGGGTTGTAACCTTCGAGATGGAGTGGGCAGAAGGGGACAGGAACACAACTATGTTTTCCAGAAGCCATGAGGTACTGGCTTTAGCTACGTATCTTTCAGTGCCAGGGCACCTAGATCAAAGCAAACTCAAACTTTCGGATCATTTCCCAAAGGTAACAACAGTGTGGCATACAAGAAATGTTCCTGTTGTTGCACCAGTGCTGCCTAAAGCAGCATTCTGCCAACATTTATGAAGCAGCAGTAACAGCGTTTCTCCCTCTGGCCTGGGATTTCTTTCCTGTGTCAGGGTCTATTTCATTGAAGACTCTATAAATTTTGTTTTCTTTTAAAAGAAAAAGACTTTTCCTCATAATCACACCTAAAGAGAGAGGTGATGACTCTGGTCAAGGGAATGTAGCAGAGTGTTCAAGTGAGTCAATTTGAATCTTGTGTGGAGTTTGGAAGCTGCTAACTGAGGACTATTTTGGAGACTTAGCTGGCCAACATCTCTGGTATGTTTGGAAGCATTCCAAGGAGATATTTTTGTAAACCACCAGGATAAGTCAGTCTATTAAGGGGAATTTAACACTACTGGGCAGTGACTCCAAGTCAGCCTATCTGTGGATATTGCTAAATTGACTATAGTAAAAATAGGAAATTCACACCAGCTCCCCCACTGCGGCAGAGACTTTTTCGTTTGCACTTTCAGAGTCTAACAGAAGTTTTCTCAAGACATGCTGGCAATTCAGTTTCATGACAGCTCACTTTTCCTTTGCCTGGAGAGACCAGACCAGACTTTGAATGGAAAGAGTACTATTCCAGTCCACAAAGCAGCCTCTGGCACATCGCTCTGCCTGACAAGAATATGTATTCTCTGTGGAATGACCTGAAATATTAATGAGACTGGAAAAGGAGGGTCTGTGTGCTAATGCAGCTGTGCTCAGGCAGCTCTGCAGCTCTGCCTCACTCTGGTATAGGCTTTTGTTTATTATATCAGTTTCTGTGGAAAATCCTGTGCAATCTCTAAAAACTCTTTTTAGAATGAATATTTCTTGATATAATTTAAGGAAATTTACATACTGTGGAGAAATAAGGAATATTTATGTAATTTTTATAATAAATACAGAATTTTTAAATAAATACTACATTTATGTTAGGTTGTTCAATCTAACTACAAGGAGTTTAAGTCAAAGGGCTACTGGGGAGAGATAAATTTTAAAATAAATACTACATTTATGTTAGGTTGTTCAATAACTACAAGGAGTTTAAGTCAAAGGGCTACTGGGGAGAGATAAAGCCAAATAAGGAGAGAGATAAAACTCTTCACTGGTAGACACCAGGGAGTAAAGCTGTTTTAGTCCAGTGAGGATTTCAAGACTTTTATATCTCAGTCATGACCCTTAAATGAAAGTGCTGGCCTAACAGCATGGAACTGAGACAGGATTCTGTTCTCAGCGATGTCTGGGGTGCATCTGTGTGAGAACAGTGCTGATGTTGCTCCTTCACTGCAGCCAGAGGTTTGGGTGCAACTTGTGCAGACATGAAATACCTTCAAAGGAGGTTGGGTGTCAGGAACGATACAGCCACAGAAATCCACAGCTCTGTGCACTCTGCAAGATCCATGTAGGGGTTACTGCTGGGTATGTACACGTGTGTTGGACCTGCAATGAAATGTGTCTGCCATTGCCATGCAATTAGCAGGACCTGTGCTCTCTCTCAAAGGTAGGTGAAGTTGGATGCAGCAGTACAGCTGTGCTAACTGGGAGAGAAAAAGAACCATCAACCAACTGATACAGTTGGCAGCAGGGAAAACTTCTCCCTCACCTGAGTTTATAGAATTGAATGGACTTTAAATTAAAGTTTCCAAAAAGAGAACCTAGTGTAAGAAAGAGGAAATATCAATACAAACTTGTCTTTTTTTACTTTTTGTTCTGCCTGGTATGTAATCTGAGCAAATGCATAATGCTTGATTTTGACAAAGTGGTCTGTGAAGCACAGCTTAGTCAGCTTTTACTAGACATGCCCCCAGAAGAAGGCCTGGAGGTACTGGATGTGTGGCTACGTGGCACTGTGAGCCTAATGGGATTGGTACACAGGGATTTTGCAGGTTTGGAGCTCTACACAGAGATACTAGAGCTACTCATGTGGGATGTGGTCTCATGGGACATTTTCAAGAAGTCTAGCTTAGAAGTTGCAACCTCTGTTGTAATCTGTAGACTATTTGGTAGGAATTTATACTCAATTTGGTGCAAAGATCAACAGACTTGCCCAGGTAAGTGACCACTGAGAAGCAGCCTGGACACCCCCAAGAACTGCAGGAAAGAAGAGAAAAACCTTTGATCTACAGCATGACTGGGTCTGTGGCCATGACCTGAATTTTCTGCAACACAAAATCTTTTTTTTCATCCTGGTTTATTGAAATATGCTTAGTCTGTAAAACATGGGAAGTGTCTATTCATACTGATGTAGTTTGCATGAAAATAAAGCTATTGGTTTCCCACATTTCACATCCTGCTTTCAGTGCTTCTGGAGTTCTGCAGCAAAGTTTTGGACTTTTTTTTAAATACATAGATTTGATGTCATTTCTGCAGCATTGATATGTGAAGCTGCCATGGCTCCTGTTCTTTTGTCAGCGTCGCTATAAAAGCAGCTGACACTATAGAAATTTTTCTTTTTTTCCTCTTGGCACACTAACTAATCAATCCTCATCATGCCCTTAGACATTTGCATTGTTATCTTCGTGGTCTAGAAGGAGCAGTGAGAAGTCAAAGGTCTTTTTCAAGGCAGAGACAAAGGAGACTTATCAGTACTAAGGCAGGATCTGTGAAACATAGGCTCCTGTCCCATGTTGAAGTCACTGTGCGCTAGTCAGCAGGGGGGTAGAAAACGCACCCTTCACTTCTGACACAACTGTAAAACATAGTAAGCCATATCACACTTTCTTCTCCTTTGTATGAGCTCTCTTTTTTTGTGTGGGAGAACCAGTGGTGCAGCAGCCGCACCCAACCTGCTATTTAGAACAGTGCAAGATCTGCAAGGGAAATGGGGGATTTGGTGCGGTGCTGTTGTCCCAGCAACTTAATAACCAGTGCCTGAACTAGACAGTACTTCCATCTTATGGATTTGATTTTCAGTGAGATTCTCCAATTTTATCTGCATTGGTTTACCATCTTAACTTGCCTCTTAGAATTGGTATGAGAGGTTTAAATACAGAAAAGTGATACTGAGAATTTCATCTAAGCAGACAACTGCTTTACACACAATGAAGCCAAGGCAAAAAAATACAGATTTTTTTTAACTGTCTGTTCCATATGAGGAAAAAATTACACAGGCTGGAGTCAGAATACCTGGGGATTACATCTTAGAGTAAAGTATGTTTAATAACCCCCAGTCTGAGA